GGCTGAGAGGAAGTTAGTGGACGGGAAGTCGGTGGACGCATATCAGCACCCATATTCCATCCCACTGGATCCGCGTGAAGCCAATGCAGATGAGCTGTGAGAGGGCCCTCAGGGAGCACGGCAAAGATGCACCCGTTCGCCTCAACGAGGGGCCAGCCCTGACTGAGGGGAAGTTAGTGGACAGGAAGTTGGTGGACACAGATCAGCACCCACATTCTATCCCTCATCGTGTGCTTGAGATATGCAGCAGGGTGTGCCACATGCCCGGCAGAGATGACCACCGCCTCCCGGATCCCTTTGCGGTGACGGTGGATGTGGTTGCTGTGCGATCCGGGCGCTTCAAGGTCCACAATGACGACGGGGGCGGCACAGGGCCACCACTGCATTTCTTGTTCTCAGGGGTGGAGGAGGGGTGGGGCCAGCAGCTTTTGTATCAGTGGTTGTGATGGTGGCGTCCAAATACGAGGTGTTGAGGTAAGGCTCAGAGTCCTCAGGTTCCATGTCTTGCTGGTTGTTGGATTCAGCGCAGACGGCAGCAGTAAGCGGTGTGAGGATCGAGAAGGTACTGGCTGGGTAGAATTCGGCAAAAACACGCCCGCTTTGCGTCTAGAGGAATATGTGAGTACATGCCCGAGAAGTTGGTGGACAACTGACTTTTCTAGATGCCAGGACCAAAGCCTGCCTGTGAACTGCGGTTAGCGCAGTGCAAACGAACACAGTAGGCGTCAGGAATGAGTGAAAGGAGGCCTAGTGAGGGCACACATGCCTCTGCAGCTTAAATGCACAGAGGCAAGCAGCCGGCAATGCGGAGCCCAATTTGAGCTCAACGCAATGCACTCTCCAAGGTGCGGCAAGAAGGATGGAGTGAGGCAAGGAGAGGGGCTTACCGGGTCCTCTGGTTGGGTGAGGTGGTCGGGTGGTGGTGGTGGCCTTGAAGGGAGTTAGATGATGATCAACGTCCAACACACGCATACATCAGTAAACAAATGTAAGCCGGACGACGATGGGGCAGACACCGATGTCGGCTTTGAGACGGTCCTGAACGTCACTGAGGATGGGAATGGTGCAGAGGAGGACAGACCATAGTGATGTCCGTGCCGTGTATAGTACAGAGAAGTTGGGGGACATGGGAAGTTGGTGGACATATGCTTGATCTTGTACAGTAGCCACAGTGTTGTACTCCCTTACTATACATTCACTTCAAAATGGACCCCATTGTCGCACACCCGACCTCTGTAGGCCGTGTATGCCGGGCGGCGGCCTGGGTTTTGCACTGGAAGTTGGTGGACTCAACCGTGCCATATTTTGTAGAATACATCTCATTGAAATGTATAGAAAACAATAATACTACAATAGAACGTCAAAAGAAAAAAAAGAGAAAAATAATAATTGACAAGGTCGATGTCGGGGGTCGGGACGGCGGGCGGGGGCGTCGGGATGATGTGCGGGAGTGGCGGTGTGATGTGCGGGACGTGTTGTTGATGGAGCGATGTGATGGGGAGGCAGTCTGATGGCAGCGCGCACCCGTGATGGCAGCGGCGCTGCCGTCATACAGCGGTGCTGCGTCGGCGGCGGCGACAGGCAATGAGGACGGCGGGGAGGGCGGCGGGAGGGCGGTGACCTCCGTGGAGGCAGTGGTCACCACCCGCCGTAGTTGGTGGACGGCCTTGGGTGATCTCCTAAGTCCCCAACATAAGGGATATAAGAGATTCCCGTGAAATCGCGTTATCCCCTCTAGTTAGAGAGGGAACCCCCCCCACGTTCCCTCTCTAACTAGAGGAGTTAGGTGGGCACATTAGGTGGTGAGCAGACTGTTCTGTACTGCCAGGTTGTGTATTTTCATTTCGGTGATTATAGATACCACTGGATGGATTAGCGTCCTGCGGTTGTGTCGATGACTAGGAGCGCGCACTAGTAGCTATTCCAGTGAAGAAGATAACTTCGGGCCAGATATCGTTGATGACAGTCGCCTTGAACTTGCGCATCGTCCAGCCACCGCGGAAAAGAGGATCCTCGGCGACCATTTCGTTCGTTGGTGGGGAGAATTGAGGGAAACTGGTGAGAAAAGCGCCGAAAAGAAGTCAAGGAGTGCGTGGCGTGGAGTCTTCAAGAAGAAGGCAAAAAGACCAACTAGTCACTGCTAGATGGACGAAGAGAGCGAACGGGACGCAGGCCACAGATGTGGGAAGGAAAACGGACGGTGTTATGGCACACAAGACGCTTTTAAATGAAACATGATCATCGTGAACCTGACACCGGGCGCTCGCCGCTCCTGCGAGAAGAGGCGCTGAGTGCACGCGGTATCGCCGCATTGAAAACGCGCACACACGACCTGATGAAAGCTCCCATCAGTGATCGGGATAGTTGTTGCTATACTGGGAACAATATCAGTCGAGGTCGAATGGTCCTTGAGCTCGTTCAGGACGTCGTTAAAGACTTAGCTCTCTATTTCCTGGTAGTCTCGCAACTTTCCCAAAATTTCAGAGAAAAAATAAAGGAGCCGATGGGCGCTGGCGCTCAGTTTCACCCAACCATCACTGTCGGCGTTATTTTTGAACCACATCGCAAGGAGACCTCATCTTTTTTTAGAAGGCCAGATAATTAACCTAGGTTGTCACTCACTCTACACCATTCTCTCTCGTAGCATAAGACCAACCTGTTGCTTTGGAAATCTTATGTATATTGTTTTCTAGGCCCGGGGAATTGGAAGGAATTGAAGGAACTACCCGCAGTCGCCTAGCGCTCAGCCTCACCCAAACATCACGGTCGGCGCTGTTTATCAAACGTACAATCGCAATCATCATCTGCCAACTATCTTCCGATCGGGGTCCCGAGGTGACCGTCAAATGTCTCAAACTGTCACTGCAGGCTGCAAGGAATTCACAAATGACTCAAGGTTCTATTCCTTCGACTTTCGCCGTTGCAGGAGCAGAAGATTCTTTCTCTGCTCAGGGAACATTCGATCGGACAAGCTTCAGTGGACATTGCTGCCTTGTCGACATGTTGTACCCATGGTAATATGTCGCGCCTCAGCGCCCTGGTCCGAGTACATTCAAGGAACTCATTTCGAGTCAGATGCTTGTCCGGCGGGGTCCCGAATATTCGTTTCCCGCATATTTGTTGGCTTCGGCGATTTACCAGCGCCGAAGAATTTAAAGAGCCCCCGAGTTGTTTGTGAGCGGTCAAATATTTGGAGCTCATTCGTTCATGTTTCTTCCTTCAGAAGAATTTCACCCCCTGGTTCAGGTATCCTGGCGGAAAAGCACCAGGTTCAGGTTATTCCGCGGGGAAGGAAATGCGCTAGCTTTGTGCCAAAAGCAACCAATCTGTGGAACATGCGAGTTGAGGTCACAGCGCGTGTCATGCGAGATGATATATTAATATTGTGCCCTTGTCTACAGTCCCCAGGGGAATACTTACATGCAAACTGAAAGGGCTGTGCTCCGCAAATGTGCAAGTCTGCAAGGAGTGAGGTACGAATTTTATTGACACAGGAATATTTACTCCATCACTCCCACAAGTTGAGTTTAACTTCGGACGCGTTGTATGTCCCTGTTTAGGTATCCCACGACGCGCGGGATATCACGTGCAGCCAGTAATTCTTGGATAAAACTTTGTAAAAACGAAGGTCGTCGGCGCGAAAGTGATCGTGGGAGCAAGGTGTGAATTGCCTCCAAGTTTGAGTCGACGCTCACTGCGCACCAGGACCGCGAAAGAATTACGCGCGCTCCGAGGAGCGGTCGCTCGTCACGGGGGGGCCTAGGGATCCTGATCGGCTCCTCTGACCTGTGTGTTTCTCGGTTTTCATCTTTGCTGAGAAAACGCGCTGAGACATTTTGATCATGCTCATCAACCAGTTCCCCGACACCAGCGCGTCTGTCGATTCTGTACAACGGAGGTAGAAAGCCCTGAACATGCACTAATCGAGTGCCAAGCATCCCCAGCGGTGCTTGACTTGCGTGCTACATTCAAGGCTAAATTATTCCGTGCTGTACCGAAACTTCAGGACAAAATGGTTCAACTCACAAGTGTTGAGTTCCTCAAAGCCATTATTTACGAGCGCTCTACTATCCTTTGGTTGGAAAATATGTGCATGATGTTCTTTAGGAATTTTACGCCATTCCGTTGCGACGTCCGTAGAGTAAATTTGTTTGACTCGAGGCTGATTAATTCTAGGTCACCGTTTTTGCTGCTTTCTGTTGTCTGGGTTCTAAGGCGGGGCACGGGGAGACCCGTGGGATCTGCTCACTGGGGCTCGGGTTGGCAGGGAGTGGTCCAGGGGCGATGGTGTATTTTACTCGTTTTGTACACCGGGATAATTCCTGGAAACCGGCGTTCGTGATTCGGACCGTGCCGTGTAATGCTACCTACCTACCTACCTACCAGAATCATTGAAGGCCAAGTTCAACCCTATTTCCGGTTCGTGGCTGTGCTCGGAAAAATCCGGATGAAATTCGCGGCCCTTTCGCTCTTGTGATGTTCAAAACCACTTTGCCGCGGAGAAAGTTGAATCAGGGTGCTACATTACTTCAGAACGCTTGACTGCGAGAGAGGGCGGGGGGAACTGGATATCAATTCTCGTCGCTTGTCAGATGTTGATAATATTGATTATGCACCGGTACTGTGTCTTTTCCCCCTCACGCTACCTTCGCTCAAGCCCTGGCAGTCGTTCGATTTTGCGCCTCGTTTCTTCCCATAGAAAATCCTAAATATCAACGAACCGACAAAGGCTGCCGTTTCCGGAAATATAGCTAGAGCAAACTGTTGTTGCTAGTTTTGTTTCTTTGGCAAAACACAAAATGCTGCATGAGTACCGGAACAACAAGTAGGTGAATAGGGCTCAGTGGTGGATAGCCCAGCCCTGTGAGTCTCATTCTCCCGCAATACCAGTTACGCCGAAGAAGCCTGTGCGAATCAGTACCGAGGGGCTTTTTATGTCAAACAGAAAATGCTGCACGTAGTACTTGTGGCTGGTACTCGAACATGCAGTAGGTAAATAAGGCTCGGTGGTGAATGGTCCACACCTGCAAGTTGTGTTGAAAATCCATACAAATTACCTTTTACGCAGGAGAAGCCTGTTCGAACCAGGCCCGAGCCATGGGTAGCCTTGATGCACGTCTTTTTCCTTCATACAATACATTTAAAATGTGGTATATTCCATGTTTAGGTAGTGGGAATAGGACAAGGTGGTGGATGATCCACGCTTGTGAGTTGTAGGTTTGCGCCGCGCTTTACGCAAGAGGGGCCTGTTCGAATCAAGCCCGAGCCATGCAGTAGGCTGGACAGAATTTTCGTTTTTATATATACTGCAAGTACTGTGTATCCCAAGTCCCTGAACATGCAGTAAGTGAACAAGGCTCGGTGGTGGATGATCCACACCTGCAAGTTGTGGTTCAAAAGGATGTCGGCGCTTACAACGGTCATGCAGGAGAAGCTTGTTCGAATCAGGCCCGAACCATGGTCGGAGATGTAAGCATGATCTTTTTCCTCGGCGATTATACGGAGAACGCTGTACATATCACACTTGAATAGTAAGGGAACAAGGCGGTGGATGGTCCACATCTGCGAGTTGTTCTGGTGCTGAACACAACTTATACGCCGTTACGCAGGAGAAGCCTGTTCGAATCAGGTCCGAGCCATGCATCTCCCATCAGCATTTTTATTGTTCCCGTCAACGACTGCGAGGGCTGTTTTATTTTTCCCTACAATATGGCACACTCAGGTGTCGACCCGGAAGCAGAGAAGGTGGCGAACCGAAAGCGGATGCGGAGTGCGAAATTAGTGGGCGAGGGATCAAGCGGAATCAGCCCGGCTATTGGCATTGGGAGTGGAGTTTTGAAAAGGTAGAGTCCTACACATTTGCTCTGCTTGGCCAAATGGTTTTTGAATGGACGCATCTGAATTGCGGGAAACAAAGTTCAACCAGCGATGCCCGAGACGCCCGAGATGCCCGACAATCTTTATAAAAATCATTGTCCACGGGTAATGGAGTCTAAGGACCGGAGGCTTACTTTCCGATTCGTGGTATCGGGAGTTCGAGCGCCGACCGACGGTTTCCAGCTACATATTTTAAATTTCTTCCGCACTCGTGCCGCGTGGTTATTCGGTTCCTGCCTACATATGAGGAAGGGATCAATCCATACGGGATCAGAACCTTCCTTTGGAAGGAGTTCAGTAGAACGTTCTTTCGAAGGGATTGGTTGGAATGGAGAGAAGAGGGAAAAGACCGCGGAACCGAAGATGAAGAAGGACGCATTTTCGAGTCCGCCCGGGCTTGAGAGGTGAATTGTTTCTTTCTTGGCAAGATTCCCTTCACAACGAGTGAAAATTTCCACCCAGGACTCGAGGGGGGTACAGGGGTCAGGAAGACGCAGCAACGAAAATTTTCCCAGAAGCAAAAACAGACTTTAAGGTTTTTACGTGTGGTAGACGTACGACGTTCGCGGGCATCAATTTGAAATCAAGCGTAGGAAAATGAATTTCTGTTCAGGCCAGCCCAAATGGGACGTGATGCGCGGCGGGATCGGTCGGGATTTTCGATGTGGGGTAAGTTGTGGTTCGGTTGAAGAGTGTCTTGCCTCGTGGTCTCCTGGATTGTTGAAAGAAACGCGGAAAAAAGAGGGAAGTCTCTTCTCGGAGCGGACCATGGCATCGCCGGCCAGCGGTAAAAGGGACGGCTCAAAAAATCGCACACATGGAATAATAACTGACCTTCCATGGACGTTTCCGCAACTTTCAACTTACGATCAAAATGTCCAAATTGGGTATGTTTTTCGCTGTTTGTTCTCAAGGCCCACGGTCTCTCTCTTTCGTGCCACCACCACCGGTTCTGCGCACTCAAAACTGGGCTTCTCTACGGCTTTCTGGGGACTCTACTGGGCCAACGGGGACTACGAAATGTATTGGACTCGGACTATCGGACCGTAGTGCGCTTCTTGCGGTTCTAATGCAGGAAAAAGAAGAGGAAGCGCAGTCAATCTTTTGCAAAATGTCGTTCATCCGGCGGATATGGCTACATTAATTGGGGCTCGTATCACGAGCCAGGTGAACCGCGTTATATAAAGGGTCTCGTCTTGCAAACGGCACCCTCGCGCGTTCCTTTATTCTGTGCTGTAACACTAAACTCTGTCCCTATAAACTGCCTCTCTGAGCTTGTACGCCACTTATACTTATCACATTATAGCTATTACACGTATCGTCGGACTCTGGCTTCGCGGCTACGCTACACTTTCTCTGCACGCCTCTTAGACGCTGGTTTCTCCTGCTATTTTTCCACCATTCCTACTATGTCTCAGCCATCACACTCGTCTCCCTCATCTCCCGCACCTGGAACCGATATTTCTGCGACTCAGATCTCCGTCTCTCCTCATCTTCATCCGCGCGCACCTCCGACGCCGCCGCCCGACTCTGTGCCTCCTTCTCCTCGCATCAGCTCCCCCGCTGCCGATTTTCCCGCCATTCCAACACCAACAACAACGACAGCAGCATCAGATTCGTCTTCGCAATCTACCTTAACAACGTCCTTTCCGAGCGAGGACCATCATCATCCCACATTTGCTTCCGTCGTTTCTGCATCCTCGCCCTCGTCTTCGCTTCCGACTTCCGTCTCTTCTCCTGCATGGTTTCCCGTGTTCGACCCCGCCCCTACGTCACCCGAATTCGGACTCGATAATTCGCCCTTGGTGCCGTCGTCGTCTTCCGCCACCCTCGTCGATTCTGCTTCTCCGCCGTCGAAATCGACACTCGTGTTCTCGCCTGACGCGTCCCCGGAAATCAGCGTGCACGAGCTTACGCATCCCGAGCTCGAGGAGGGCGAGATCGACGCGCAAGTGCTCCTGAAAGATCTCGGGCTTGGACTTGGGCTCGTGGATGCTGTCGCTATCGCTATTCCCAATGGTAAGACTCCGTCTCTTTCATTCACTCGTGTTTTCTGAAATTCTTCCCGACTTAGACTCGAACGCGAACGCGGACCTTGAGCCTGGGCAAATCATCGAGGACTCGCCTGTTCTTCCTTCGCCGCAGCACCATCAGCCACACCAGCAGACGCAGACACAGACTCCTCCGCGCACCTCGCCCTCGCCGCCCCCCGCTCCTGCCCGCCACACGATCCCCCTCCCGCCCATCGACGCCGAGTCTCCGCATCAGTTCTCGTCCCCGCCTGCGCCGGTCCCGCGCCGCGAACGCGTCCCTAGCGCCGAGTCTCCTCCGTCTTCGGTGCAGTCTTCGCCGGTGCACTCCGTTCCCGTGCCTGCGCCCAGCATTTCCACTTCCACGTCCGCTCCGACTCTCAGCACCGCGCCTACTCTCAACCCCGTCACCACCACCACCGCTCCGGCCCCACCCTCCGACGCAGGCGCAGACCAAAGCCAAACCAAGACCCCCAACGTCTACATCAACGGCTTGCCCCCGAACTTCCCGGAGGACCAGCTCTTTGCGCTCGCGGCGCCGTTTGGGGAGGTGCGCAGTGTGCGGAGCTTTACGCGGCATGTGGGGGATGCGGAGACGGGGTACGGGTTTGTTTTGTGAGTTGTATTCCTTATTTTCTCCCTTCGAGCAGAGTGCTGGGACAGCGCGGGATCTTGCTTCGTCGTTTTTATTTTGGAACTCCGGCTCGGAATTTGAACCTCAATACTAATTCGCGTTCAACTTTTTCCTTTCAAGGTTCGAGAGCATCTCGTCGGCGGAGAAATGCATCAACTCGCTCAGACGGTATCGGAATCTGCACCCCACTTTTTCCAAGGTACATACTCTTCCTTCACGATCCTTCGACTCGCCCATCCTTCCTCCCTTCTTCACCGATTTAAGTATACTCCACCCCTTCTGCTCGCGCGCCGTTCGTACTTCTACTTGTCTATATTTACTCACACCTCTTTTCGCGGCGATATATAGCAGGTGCACAAGATCCCCGGAACGATGTACTCGCAGGCGCGGCCCGCCGCCTCCTCCCCCGACTCCGACCCACATGCCCACGCCCACCACGCACAATCGCAGTCGCACCTCGGTCAAGTCCACGGGACGATAGCGACAGAGACGCCCTCGGCGTCCTCGCTGGCGGGTTGGGAGCAGGAGAGCGCGGGCGACGGGAGCGCGGACTCGACGTTCAAGGCCAAGATGGAAAGGCTTGCGGACAAGTCGAGCACGAATTTGTATATCGAGGGGTGAGTTTTGCTTCGTACTTTGTTCTCGTTTGGGTCTCAGTTTGCGTTCGTCTTTTCTCCATCGTCCTCCATTCTTCGTTCCCGTTCTCGTTCCATTCTCATTCTTCCTCCGACCTGCGACGGCGTCGAATCGAGCTGACTTCAACTACGATTTATCTAGGCTCCCGTTGAGCATCGACGAAGCTGTACGTCTTTTAAATCTCGTCTGGTTGGTTCGAGGGTTTCCTAACGCCATGATCTTATTCGTAGACCCTCGCAGCGCTCGTCTCGCCGTACCCGATCAGGAGCAGTCGCTTTTTCCAGACCAAGCTGAGCAGCCCTCCTCGGATCATTGCCTTTGTTCGGTCAGTCTTCTCCTCCCTCCATCCTTCAACTGCCAACTCCAACTGACGATTCTGGTGCCCTTGATGCAGATTGGAGACGCGCTCCGCCGCGGAGGAGATCATCGAGCGCTTGCACGGACGGATGGTGCGAGGCTGGAACGACCCCGGCAGCCGCATTTCGGTGCGCTTCGCGGACACGAGCGAGCAGCGCGAGCTTAGAGTCAGTAGTACTCTTTACATCACCCCTCCCTTCCTCTCAACATTTTTTGTTCGATGCTGATGGCTTCTTCGTAGCGGCACGAGCGATTAGCTCGCGAAGGGGATCAGACTTCAAACCAGCTCAGCATCGCCCAAGCGACGCTTCTCAACCTCCGCGGCAAGGAGCTTCACGCCCGTCCGCCGATGGGAGTCAGCGTTGCCGCCTCCACGCATCTCGATGACGACTTTGGCTTCATTGACGAGGGCGGATCCGAGTACAGCGGCGGCCATCACTACCACCACCCCCTCCAGTCCAACGCCGCTTACCCCACCAGTGACTTCGAGGTCGACTACTCGCGCGTTCCGGCGGGGCGCTACACGCACGCACTCGGCCTCGGCGCGCAGCAGTTCCCGCACCA